TGTGAGAAACAGAACTCTAGATGTAAATGATGTGATCTTGGATTTTTAACATTTTTACCATGTCCTATCAAATGACTAGTGCTAGACGGAAGGAAAAAATAAGGCATAAATGCCAAGGTCGTCGTTCGGTATACGACGAGCCAATACTAACTCACTAAGTAATCTGCGGTAAGATAACAGAAATAAGTTGAGGTGTTTCAGTTTGTCTTCGTAAGGTGGGCCAATGAGACCTTTCACCATTTCTGTCCACCGTCATTGGACCCGTTCTAGCATATTCGCCTCATACTTGAAACAAGGACTCGCTGCTTGAATCTCATATTCCAAGTGTGGTCTCACGACAGTCGGGTATAAATAATCTAAACATTTCTTTGTCAGAGTACTGAAAAGACCCACGAATGGTCCGTAATTCCCTAAAGTCTTTGGCAGCGACAGCCTTGCAGTTGCTCATAGTTTTTAGGTCATTGCTTATGATGACTCTTAGATCATTATAGTCCATTACTTTGGGTTATACAACTCCACGTATTTTTGTAGTGATATGAACCGTCGTAGTTATTGAATCGCATCACCACACTCTTGTCAAAATTTGCTCCTAATGACCACCCGCCCATCCATGAAGTCACTGAAATTAGATCATCCTGTAATATTATTTTACCTGACATACTGTGTATGGGTCTCCAAATCATTATGTCACCGGAGAAGAGTAGGACAGATGACTTTGCTAAAGTTGATAATTCATTTGTATAAAGTAAAAAAAGAAGGACACCAAGGATTGTACTTTGGGGAACCCCGCATTTTACAGGTCCTCACGCTATCTGCCCTTTCCCTCTGTCTACTATCGTTGAGAAAGTCACTTATCCACTTTATGGTTTGACAATGGATTCCAATTGGAAAGGTTTAAACCTTTCCAAATTTGATTTAAGACCCAAATGAGGGGCCTTGTCAAAGGTTTTGCTTAGGTCTGTGAAACTGACATCTACGTGAATACTTTTATCTTTTGCCCCAACCCAATCATATCTTTCAATGAGGAGATTTGTTAAGCATGGTAGGCCTTTCCGTAAATTGTGTTGTTCCCCGAACAACCTTTTCCATTGGTGTGACAACTGCATTGATTAGGCTAATGGTTCGATCGTTACTAACTAAGTCTCTGCTCCCTGCCTTATAAACCGGACTGATTATTGTTTCCTTCCAGTCTCTTGGCAGTCTGGACTGCCTTTTGTTCAACCTTATCTGACACAACAACTGGACACTTGAAACCGTTCATCAGTTCCTTATCTGAATGAGGTCAGTCCTTATGTACTAGCTCGTCGCGTGATAATATGGTTTGGGATGGTCGTGTTGTCCTGACCATGGATCTGCTCTCCAAGGTCGTTGGCAAGGAGCGGCGTGTTTGAGGCTGCATCTGTAACGTGTTTGGAAGGTTATTTTATCAGCTTCTATTTATAATTATTATATTGTCTTGACCTCACGATTGGTAAAAATGAGTGTGCATGTGCTTGATGAGTCGTCTGCTCACTTTTTCTCTTGCTCTCTCCCAGCTTTCTGTATGGATATTACGCGTTAATGAATATTCTCACGAATGTCCATTTTCATGACGAAGTAAAGACAAAATTCTGAGGTATTTCGGCTAAGTCCTAAATTTCGGGTGAGACTATAATTTATGGACGATCTTTCAGCTACGTTATACCCGAACTCCCAAGTTTGGTGAGATTTTGGAGTATTTTGGGGAAACTCCTTAAGTCAAACGACCTTCACCAAGGTTAAAGGGGAATTTCGGGAAAATACTGGGGAATTTCCCCAGGTCTGGGAAAATTTTGGGGTTTTAGTGCTATTTCTTCAAATTTTACTATAGCGGCTTCACCAAAATGGGTCAAATTTTCCCCAAAATTGGGAGCTCGTGTAGGCCACTTTATAATGCGGCCTTGAGAATATCCATTTACTGACTAGGGCTAAATAAGGGTTTAGGAGCAGTTGTTTCTACACAATCCTATCGGAAATCCTTTCACGAAGCAGAAGTTGCTTCTGGTGCAGTCGAGAAAGATTATAAGGTAGATGTTTGGGCTTATGTATAGCTGGACTATTAATGGATGAAGTAATGTAATCTTAGAGTTTTGAGTACAATCTTGGGATTTTTAAATCTTGACCCATTATTTTGTTTGAATTGGCTGCATCTCTACTTACTTACGCCTCTTACTCCTCGTGAAGGAGCATAAGCCTCGCACCAGCGTTCTCCATCCAACTCTGTCCTGGGCAATCCTTTCCAGCTCCTTCCAGTTGTAATTCATCCTTTTCATGTCTGCTTCTATTTCCCGACGTAATGCGTTCTTTGACCTTCCTCTTTTCCGCTTCCCTTCAGGATTCCAAGTTAGGGATTGCCTCTTGATGCAGTTTGATGATTTGCGTAATGTATATCTTATCCATTTCCATTGTCTTTTCCTAATTTCCTCTTCAGCTGGAAGCTGGTTTGTTCTCTCCCACAGAAGGCTGTTGCTGATGGTATCCGGCCAATGGATGTTGAGTGTCTTGCGTAGACAGCTATTTATAAATACTTGTATTCTCTTGATTGTGGTTGTTGTAGTTCTCCAAGTTTCAGCTCCATACAGTAGAACTGCATTGACGTTCGTATTGAAGATTCTCACTTTGATATTGGTTGAAAGTTGTTTTGAGTTCCATATGTTCTTCAATTGAAGGAATGCGACCCTTGTTTTGCCAAGCCTCACCTTTACGTCTGCATCTGAACCTCCTTGTCCATCGACGATGCTTCCTAGGTATGTGAAGGACTCTACATCTTCCAGAGTTTCGCCATCAAGAGTGATTGGATTGCTGTTCTCTGCTTTGAATTTGAGGACCTTGGTTTTCCCTTTGTGTATACTGAGGCGTACTGATGCAGAGACTGCTGCTACACTGGCTGTCTTCATCTGCATCTGTTCGTGTGTACGCGATAGGAGGGCTAGGTCATCTGCGAAGTCCAAATCGTCTGACTGATTCTGAGCTGTCCATTGTATTCCGTGTTTCCCTTCAGATGTCGGGGTCTTCATAATTCAGTCAACCACTATAAGGAAAAGAGAGGGCGAGAGTAATCAGCCTTATCTGACTCCGGTCCTTATTTGGAATGCATTTGTCAGCTGTCATCCATGAACCAATTTGCACTGTAGTCCGTCGTATGAGTTCCGGATAATATTGACAATCTTCTCAGGAACTCCGCAGTGTCGAAGAAGTTTCCATAACGTTCTCCTATCTACACTGTCAAATGCCTTTTCATAATCAATGAACTTGATGTACAGTGACGAGTTCCACTCAACTGATTGTTCGATGATGATCCGTAGTGTCTCAATTTGGTCTGTGCACGACCGATCCTTACGGAATCCAGCTTGTTGATCTCGAAGTTGGGTGTCTACTGCGTCTTTCATCCGGTTCATCAACACTATTAAAGACTTTCCCTGGTGCTAACAGTAGTGTAATGCCTCTGTAGTTTTCACATCTGCTCAGATCTCTTTTCTCTGAAATCTTGATGAGGTGTCCTTCTTCCCAGTCTATAGGCACTTGCTCTTCCTCCCAAATCTTCTTGAATAGAAGGTGAAGCATGTTTATAGTTACTTCGATCTCTGACTTCAGTGCTTCAGCTGATGTATTGTCGGGTCCTGCTGCTTTCACGCTCTTCATTTGTCTGACGGCCATTCTGATTTCTTCCGTCATTGGTGGATTGAGATCTATAGGAAGATCTGTGTGCTGCTTCGATGTTCGGTGGATTCATTGGAGCCGCCCTATTCAAGAGTTCCTGGAAGTACTCTACCCATCTGTTCCTCTGTTCTTGACTTTCAGTGATTGGCCTCCCTTCTTTGTCCTTGACCGGTCTCTCTGGTTTACTAAGTTTCCCTGCTAGTTTCTTCGTTGTATCATATAATTGTTTCATATTTCCTTCTCTTTCAGCTTTCTCCGCCGTCGTCGCGAGTTCTTCCACGTATTTCTGTTTGTCAGCATTAATGCTCTTGTTCACTTGCTTGTTGGCTTCAATGTATTCAGCTTGTGCTTTGATTTTCTCTGTTCTTGTTCGGCTATTGTTAATTTCTGTCTTCTTGTTCTCCCTTTCTTTGATCCTGTCCAGTGTTTCTATAGAAATCCATTCCTTATGATAATGCTTCTTGAGGCCCAGAACCTCTTGACACGTTGAAGTTAATGCTTCTTTGATACTTTTCCAGTTGCCGTCCACAGTAGTTTCTTTTTCCTCCAGTAGATCTTGTAAGGCTGGGAACCTGTTGTTGAGAGCTATCATGAAGTCGTTGAATTTTTTAGTATCTCGAAAGAAGGCTGTATTGAACCTTTGTAGTGCTGTTTGTCCAGTTGTCCAGTTCTTCAGCCTCAGTTTTAAATTGGCTACAACTAGGTGGTGATCTGAAGCCATATCAGCTCTTCTCCTGGTTCTCACATCTTCCATTGTTTTTCGGAACTTTTTATTGATGCAAATATGGTTTATCTGGTTCTCTGTGGTGCAGTCCGGTGAGATCCATGTAGCTTTGTGTATATATTTGTGTGGAAATATTGTGCCACCTATGACCAATTTGTTGAATGCACACAGATTTGCAAATCTTTCCCCATTTTCGTTTCTCTCTCTCAGTCCATGTCGTCCCATGATATCTCCATATCCGGTGTTGTCTATTCCGACTTAGGCGTTTAGATCTATCAGAATGGTGAGGTCCTTTCTTGGGCACTTCTCTGTGATTGATTGCAGCCTCTCATAGAATTGATCTTTATTGTCGTCGTTGCTATCATTGGTGGGTGCATAACATTGGATAATATTCATTGTGATCCCTTCATTCTTTGTTTTGAATGATGCTTTGATGATTCTGGATCCGTGAGATTCCCATCCTACAAGTGCATTTCGTGCTACTTTGGACAGCATCAGAGCAACTCCCTGAGTGTGTGGAGCATTTTCCTCTTCGTGACCGGAGTATAGCAGCATCTCTCCCGTAGCTAGCCTTTTCTGTCCAGTTTGGGTCCAATAGGTTTCGCTGATTTCCAGTACTGCCAAGTTGTATCTCCCCATTCCCGTTGCTATTTGACTGGTCTTCCCGGTCTCCCACATTGTTTGAACGTTCCATGTATCTGTAAAAGTTGTTGCTCTGGTTGTTAGAAGGGGCATCGGCCTTGTGGCTTCCGAAGGAACTCGGCTTTCACCATGAGGCGTCATAGTTCTTCTAAATGAAAACCTAGCTCCCAGGGCAGAGTTCAAATGGTTTGAATTATTTTTTCTGGTTAGCATTCTTTTAGCGAGTTAGTTTTCTACGGTGTGGGGTCGCTAACCTCATGCCCAACCCTCCTCCTTTACCCGGGCTTGAGACCGATAGTAACTCTAGAAGAGCTACAGGCGGAGTTGGCTGCATATCTAGTAACTACCTAATTCTAGAACTAGAAGAATATATAATCCAGTCATTGATGGTTTTCTCTCATTGACAGTCAACTAGTTCTTACGAAAAGTCTTCTGAGTGGTTATTTTAAATTTGTTTAGTGAGATAGTTATTTACCTTGAAGTAATCTGTTCAGAAAATAGTTTCATGTTACATAAAATACAATTCAAGAAAAATCATAGGGTTGTAGGTCTGAATTTGTATTTTGATCAAACGACTGATGGTACTGTTTATCTTTCTTGGGATTCATGTGTAAGAGTAGTATTTCTTATTTATTCTGTATCAAAAAATTATCAAACTGTTCGCACTGTTACTATACATTTAATTAGGATTTCACCAGTTGAGTCGTTTGGGTTTCTTTTCATATGGTGATTAAACTAACATGGGTAAAAATATGTTCAGACATTGTACACATAGGGTTTTCGTTTTCCAACAGGTTGACGCCAACCTTTTAGCAATCTCCACAATGGAACAAAATAAAGAAATACTTCTTACTGAAATCAGGAGCCGAATAGGTAAGTTATTCTAGAATTATCTCCTAATGAAATAGTTGTTTTTTTCATGTCTCATTCCTTTTATTTAGTATATATTTAAATATATTTCACCTCATAATCAAGCTCAAAGATATGAAAACAAAAAGCGAATGTCTTTTCGAACAGTAAAATAGCATGTACGATGACAGACGACCCGCTCATTCCTCTACGAGGATAGTAATTGGGTTTAGAGGCATTACTACAAGCTTTGTTGATATTTTTTAGTATATCTAAATTTTCTGAATAAACATTTGGTTTTGGCACCTTTGACCGCTTCGAGAACAAAATGGTTTAGAAAATAAGTTGATCTAACCCTCCATGGTTTCACTACTATTATGGTGTTAACTTGTAAGATCGCGTAGTGGATTGCTTATTTAGGCTTCATTTTCTACACAATGGGTAAAAATGAATGACATTAATCATCTCTAGAAATGTGACTTCTAAGGTGCAGTATTCCGCATTCCACTGACAAGGAAAACTTTCAATCTAGTAAAGTTTCCGTATTCATTGGTCTTATGTATCTACTGGTGACAGGTGAAAGACCAAGGTCACCGTTTTCTTAGTTTCAGTTAAGTGCTTATATGTCGATCGATAATAGGTTGAAATTAATGTTCGTGAAAGTTGTTTATTTCCATTGGGTTCGTTTATTACTTTAAGCTACTTTTACTGATTCTAGAAATATCACTTTGAACATGGTTCAAACCTTGGTTAAAAGCTGAGTGTTCAAATTACCAATCAGCAACTCTGGGACGCATGTAGTGATTTCTGAACATTTGGAGTTCTACTTAGAAAATATAGATTTCATCAGTGGCTGTTCATCAAGTGACTGTCATTCACATCAATGTCTGTTTGTGATCGCTGACTTATTTAGTTTAAGTTAACTGTTTATGAGTACAGTTTCGAAAGAAGACTTGTGCTGTTCCGACTGTATACAAAATTCCATTAATAATACGTACAGTTGTATAAAAAATATGACTTGAAATCGGATCTCGAAAGTACATAATACATAATAGTTTGGTTCACGATTATTTCTATTCTGCTGGTTACTTTTATTATACTTTGATTTTTCACATTTATCCATACTATTGGTCTATAATTGTATATTTTTGTTTTCTGTATGTATTATATGTTACGATTACAAAAGCGAAAGTCCACTAGTTAGTCTGTGATTTTGATCCTCATTACTCTTGACTAACTGAAAAGTAACTTGAACTTATTTGATTGAATCTCTCATTCATAAATAAGTAAATGGGTAGGGATTTTGTTTTATGTAATCTATTCAATTTATCAGTCCAGCCACTCATTACAGCCACTTTAACTAAACGAGTAGGTCGTCAAACGAGATATAGATGGTTGTACCCTAAGTATGATCTTACACTTCTTACTCTTTATTGTGCCTTTAGTTTACTCCTTGGTTGGTTATTCATAATTGATTTTAGTCATCTGAAAGGATATCTAGAATCTATGAAGTTCTTATCTTTGATAGGTAGTTTTTGGTTTCTGTCTGTTTGGTTGAAAACTTCATTCATCCTGTTTTGCTTCGATAGATGAAATGAATTCACGCACATTATATTTACGTAAATTACCACGAAATACAAGTCTTTCTCAGCTGAAAGCATTGTGTCGTAGTTCAGCAAATGGTCGGTTGCTAAATCCGTCTCGTCACTTAAAACATAGGTAATTCTTCTCTTTAGAGTATCGCATATTATACTACATTTCTATATCGTTATGTTTCTTTTGATTTTTTTTTCACATACTTTATCTCGTGGTAGTTTTATTAATTAACCGAATTAACCCGGTGTCATTGGAAAAGAATTCGCAATGATTCAGCAAAGAAAATTTTTCGACGGTATTAACTGCAGCTGTATAATCGTATTTTTAGTGACTTAACAAATATATTAGTCTTTTGAAAGATAAGAAAAGGATTCCACCACAAATTACCTGGGGATTTCATACATCACAAGGAGGTTGTGTAATGGTGTAGAGGTTAAAGAAAAATCGTGAGGTGGAAATAGTTTATAGACCAGCAATACGAGAGTTGAGTTGACCGTTTTACAGGAATAATAACAAATGGACAATAATTCTGAAAATCTAGAAAAGAATGATAACGACTGATCACTTACTAAAAACAAAGAAAACACCGAAGAGTGCTAACGGCACATAAGAATAAGATATTTCACGTGATGCTTTAGCACTCATAGTTCGGGCTTAAACTGCTTGTTTGTAGTGTGCACGTTTTTTCCTCATGCTTCTTTTAATCTCACTTATCTGACTTTGCAGATTATTTTGACATACAATTCTGATGGGTCAATTCCAGTCAATCATGCGCAACGTAGAGACTGATAAGCAAGTGCATTGCTCGAAGTTGCTACACCACGTTAGCACAGTGAGGTAAAGTTGTTTTGACCAATACCAGACTAGTAGGAGTAGTAACACCATCAGTAGTAGTGGAAAAAATTAGATATAAGAAAAGAAAAAACGGCACAGGCGATTTCGGGATCCAGATTCTAAAAAAGTAAAGATGAATCCACCTGCAACATTGTTAGGAAGTGCCCTGATTTGATTAGATGTTCTTTTATTCAGTTGTTGATTGTTTTGCATCTTCCTCTTAAGAGTCTACTGGGTAATGTTCTGACATGCATGCGTTTAGAATAGATTTGTTCCGGAATAAAACTCTAAATGGGTGCACACTTTATTTCGACTAGTCTTAGCCATCTAAGTTGTAAATTTGTGATGGCATACTGATATGCTAACTTTTTATTGCATCTTCAAATCGGCAATCGCATATTAACTGTTTGCTGTCGGTTTTAAGAAGTTAATTAGAGCTTACTTAAAGTTTTAGTGTAGTTCTGCCAGGAGATATTTCACCCATCAATTAGTCACCTTCAACCACACTTTTTACTTTTTTAGTGGGTCAGTCTTTATGGTAATTGGTCATTCTCTGATACGTATGGTTTTGGTTTTAAGAGTGTAAATAGGCTTTATTGATGGATCGCCAGCTGTATTTCAGTTCTTATGCAATAGTTTTCGATTAATCTTTCTGTAAAGTCACCAACAATCCTCAAAGATTTTTATCCTGGAGGCTAAATCTAATGAATTAATGTCGTACAAAGTTGTGTAAATTCTTTTAGCCAATACTGTAATCTAACCATTGACTTCTTGATTTGGTAGATTAGCGCTTATGGAGTATAATTCACCTGAAGCAGCATTGTCTAGTCTTAAGTCATTGGGTGACAAATTCTTTGGAGATATTCCTATTACTGTTGAGTTATGTTCTGAGCGCTGTAAATCTCTGTCTAATAGTTGGAGGCCACCAGAGTCATATGAATTGAATGAATTTAATTTGAATAAACTGTATGTAGCAGGTATCAATCGTCGATCAACTGAACAGGAAATTCGGGACCTATTTCCTAACGCTGAGTCTTTTGACTTCATTGTACATGAAGGTGCTTTATGGTTAGTAACCATTATTTGAAAGTGTTATTGTTTAGTACATAAAATATTCATTTGGTGTTATTCATAGCATTACAGTGTTCATCTAATGACAAAAATTAGTAGCCGTTTAAATAAATTTAGCAGCTCTTGTTTATACCGAATTAACGCTTTCTAGTTTTTGTAGATGTGCATACTTTATGCTCCAAAGCAAGCAACATACTTCGGTTGTGACTTGTCGTTTCGAACCTTACTTGGAAAAATTTCAAATTCTGGTTTACAGGTTTAGAATTGCTATAATTCTAAGAAATCACCTTACATTAAAGTTATGAAAATACCAATATGGGGAAAAACAATACTCACTCATAATCCGTAATTTGATGAAAACGGGAAACTGTTTTACTTCTACACTTCTACACAGTATACTAAACAAAACCATTCAATGTTAAATCAAACGTTCTCTCTGACTGGTCCCAAAAATTCTAATTATAACCTAGTTTTACTTTAGAACTAAGGTTTAGAAGCTGAAGATTGATCGAGTCTACTTTTATCCAAAGAGAAATTGCTTACTCATTTTTTTGAAATGTTTCAAATGTCCGATATATCTTTAGTTAACTTGAAAACGATCTAAAGTGAAGTGTGGAATTTTTATTTTATTGTTTCTATAACCGAGCTTTGTCACAATATGACTTGCAAGATAAGATGAAGGTAAGTCGAACTCAGTAACCAGACATACATTCGCTTCCTTATATTGTGATTAGCGATCCATTCATCCCATTAGTGATGCAGTTTTTCATTTGAAGTCAGTCGACTATTATTTATACATCTACAACAGCAGTTTCATAATAGCTCGTTTTTGTCATTTTTTTTTCGAAAGGCATTGTCGTGTTATATTTACCAATCAAAAAGACGCTCTTGAAGCATTCAATACACGACATGGAGTTGTCCTCCATGATACGCCAATTAACTTAAACTTTGACCTAAGGAGTCGTAAATCTTCACTTGTAAGTAAACATTTTTCACAATAATTCTTCTATTGGTGGTTAGTTTTATTTTCTACTTGGTGATTAATCAAGACATCATTACATGCAAATGCCGAAAAGTTTTAAGTCAGACCAGTGAGTGAATGACGTTGAGTTTTATATATCTAGTTGTTCGAAATACTACTAAAGTACTACCACCACAGCCATAAAGTTCGAATTACTCAAATTGCTAACATTTTAAAGCTGTACGTGGTAGTTTATGATAGGTAGCGTGTAGTGTAGAAGTTTCCTTTTTAGGTCGATCAGTAGTCTGACAAAAGTAGTGATTTTACTTTGTAGAATTATAGTAGTAGCTTCATAACGTACTAGATAATTTTCAAAGTTGTAAAAAGTTCACTACAACCTTGATGACATTTTTTCAACTCGAAATGTCTTTGTGATTAATATGTTCAATTGTAAGTATTCAGATAAAAGGGAATCAAAGAAGTAACGGTCGTGGTGTTTTTGAGTTAAGTATGGATCACGTATGTTATTAATTTCGTATTATTTTATGTACGAACTTATAGATAAGCCATTTCAGCTCGTATAAGTGTGTATTGCTTTTATACTTTGTGCTCGTAATTAGCTCTGTGACTTTTAATTGACCCAATCTAAATGTTTCATCTGTTATAGTCGACGTTTCGTACACTTTACCTTGTGTACCTCATTTTTTCATGTCTTAGTTAGTTCGTGCACCAATCGTTTCAACAATTACTGATCCAAAGGTTCTGTCAAACGAAAAGCCGAAGCTGAAAAGCAGAAAAAGTAGTTCCCATTTAAATCAGCAACAAAGTCGGGGGAATAAATCTCTAACTGAATCACCGAGTGGTCCTGTTAAGAATTCAAATCTTGAAGCAAATAAAAGCAAAAGAAAAAAATACAAAAATGAGAGTGCCTCCAGTAATTCAGTCCCGTTTTCTTTGGCTACTAACCATGGACATCAAGTTTCTAAACCAGTACCGAAAAAGCGAAAGTTGGTGTAGTACGGGAACACTTATGCGTTTATTAACTTTAGCTTGAAGTTTAATGAATAAAATAATTTTTTTCAACTACATTGAGGTTTGTTCTTGACTGAAGTCGTTTACTTCAAATAAGTTTCCTGATTCTTATTCATTGAATACCTCCCAATTTTATTTACTTTTTGGGGAGAAAGCTTCAAAAGAGCGCTTTTGGAAATAAGATTTGTGTGAAGTATGGTCATAGTTGTCTTTTGGGCGGATATTTTCCTACTTGTTTTCTCTCCTTGAAATATTACATTTATCATTCTTTGACGCTAAAGACAAACTTATCAAATAGTATAACTATGCCTGTTAGACTTATTTCATCGATATCATGCAGAGGTGAGTGACTTTTCTGTTATGATAAGTAATCACACAGAACTAATTATTGATAAACTTTATTTAAGAACAGTAAAACAAAGCTCTTGATCTTTGTTTAAACTTGATATCCATAGACCAAAAGTTATCTAAAGTTGCTATTCACTTCCGTCATTCAGTGATCCCGAATGGGATACAGTTTGGACTTTTGATGTGCTGCTTATCAGTATTTGCACTTTGTCAATTACCTTTTAGCTTTTACTGAAATGTAAAATGTTTTACAAAACTGGTAGGAGCGTGTTGATGCTCTTACATTTGGTGGTATATCTTTTGAGAGTGGTCAGATTCATATGTTTAGGTATTTGGGTACCACACCGTCAATCTGTTTGGAAAGCCTTATACGCAAAGGTGGACCAACTATAGTGTTTTCGCAACCTCAGCCAGGATCCAACCAGTTGTGGTTGGGAGCATTTGAAGGATGGATTCTGAGTCAAGAATATTTGTTGGATGTGTCTAGTTTCTTCTGTTCATTTAATACTGGTGTTTAAGTGTCATCATCATGTAAGTAATTAGGGAGAGCAAATGGGTGCTTGAGTGTGTTGATATCATACTAAATAACTGACATTAGTGAATTAGACACCATTCAATTTTATATCGGCAATTATCATATATCTCTGCTGACATTCAGGTCGACTACAACAAACACTAGGTAAATTGACAGTTCGGAGGCGTAGAAGAAGCAGGTTGGGTTGGTTCCTGTCAGTGCATTGTGACTTATTAGGGTCCAAGAAATTGTCGTCGAGTGGTTGCAAGTGATGTATAATAGTTTAGAATCAAAGCCAGTGGTGGTTCTGTGATATTTTTCTTAAGTCTTACTTGAAGAGTAAAATAAATAACTAAATTATTTCAGACTAAACAGCCTACCATCCCTGGTACTGAATATATCAAAATTCGGATCTGATCACGTTAACGTCTATAAATTATTTTAATAGGGAAGCACTGTATGACACCATTATTAGCATGTTAGGGATATATGCAGAAAGGAAGAAAAATCTAGTGTGATACATTTAGGATTTCATATGCTTTATTTCAGTTTCATGTATCGTTTATGTAACTTATTTTGCAGGTACAGGTTTATACACTCGGTCTTGAACCACGTTGTTTGTATGAGTACTGGTGATACCTTGTGACAGACAAAACTGAAGTAGGTAAATTAGGTTCCAAAATGTTGCCTAGTCGTTAAAAGCCTAGTACTTTAGTCATCAAACAATGCTTTTCATAAAAATTATCCTTTAGTTTCAAGTGTACTCGTGGTCATTGAGTACACTTTGTCTAAGTTCATTAACATTACAGACCACCAAATAAAAATCATTGAGGTAGTGACAATCAACTTGTTGGGCTAAACATAGGGGAAGCATGACTTAGTTGAAAACTCATAATATCAACAGCTAGTATATAAAGTTATTATTAGAGGATAAGTTTTGTCTCGAGAAGGTTCTGCAATGTTTTTAGGAAAAGTTTGAGCTTACAAATGTATTATTTAAACATCTAAGTCAAACATGCGCTCCAATAGCACTGACGAGAGTGAGAGGTTTTATGTTAGGTGAATAAATTTGGGGCGATAGAGAACATGAAATATCTCATCGATACTTCGCCTGTCTGCTACCATAGTTCCCTTCTGAGTCTGTAAATTGTTGAATTTAGGCACAGAAATTTCCGGTTAAAGTGATAGTTGATGGACATCTGCTTGACAAGACATAGATACTGTATTTACCGAAAATACGTGTGTATATTGATAGAACATCATGGGCTGTGTGGTAGGAGGCAATTGGTAGTAGTTGCTTTAGATACTGTAGATTTGAAACCATAAGAATTTTTAAATAATGTGCTCATGTGTTTCTAAAAATGCCTAAAAAATACAACCAAGGTATTCGAATCATGAATATGTAGTTGTGTTTATAAAATCTACTCTGGATCTTAGTGTGATTTCAGGTTTATGTATTTTTTTTGGAGCCATGATTGTAGTGTAAACTACACAGATTCGGTTGAATGATTTCACTCTTAAAAGTAGGTTTATCCCTGATTTCACTTTACTATTCACTGTTTGATACTTTCTTGACTTAATATTTTCACGTGGAGAAATATTCAACAGCTATATAATTATCTCGTCTTTTATTCATAATTACTCTTGTGTTTCGTTCATGAGTTTAGATGGTCACTATCTTTTAATTTTTACGTAATTAGTGGGTCAAAATCAAATATGTTGATGTTATCTCGAAAGAAAATGATAGCCTCGCGAATAAATCATGCAACTTAGAGAACGAAATACCCTGAAAATCGTCCTCTTGAGCTAAAAATATCCATCATTTCAATACTCTGTCTGTACACTTTTTGTGAAATAATCAACTAATGCGTCTGCAAAATTCGGAGTTTTTCCTTGTTCAGCTTAGTATTCTGGTTAGTTAAAATCTCACGTTTATCATTAAACAACCAAATTACTTTATTCACACTTAGAGGTAATGCTTTATCTAATTAAGCACTTCGAACAAGAGAATAGATCTTATGTGTTGCAGTATAGGATAACTTTCTTTGATTCCCAGAAAATCGTGATATAATTTATAGTTCTATTTCAATACCGAACAATGCATCAATAAATGTGCAATTCCATGTGATCAGTTTTCATAAAGAAAAAACCTGAAGCGAAATCATTTCAGCTATTTTTAGTTGATTAACATGATTAGTAAGTTTTCTATTAACACGGTACTTCATTAATGTGTTCATAATAAACTTTCAATCTTGTTTTCTGAAATAGCTAACAATATCTGTCCAAAATTAGTTTTACGATGAGTAAAAGGACTATAGTTAATAAGTTTAGTATTAGATACATATACATTTGTTATCGTCGACAAAATTTATTTTACTATGTCAGTTAGCGTACAGTGGTTTCATCATTTAAAATCATGATGACTTAAACGCTGAATTTTTTCATGCTGTTATTTTCTACACATAAATAAACTTATTACTTTTATTTTTAAATTAGTTCTACACTAAATGGTGTTACTTGTGAACAAAGAAAACAAAATGTTCTAAACAAAGGTTTAATTCAGTTTTTATGTAAATTTTCCTTATCTCCTTTTCTGCTTGACGTGGTATGATCAATTTCTTTTAAAAAGCTTTTGGTTGTATGATTGAGAAAGACTAATTCACTGAACATTAAAACTATTTACAAAAATTTAACAAAACATTGTTTCTAATAAACAAATTTAAAATTAGAGAAATTTTGGCAAAAAGAACTGATTCTTAAATATTAATCTCATTGATAGACATAGCAGTAAAGATTTAAGTTGTTGTAAGGATTAAATTTAAATCAGCAACAATCTGAGTATCGTTGTAAAACTGAAGAATCTGATTAATAATGCCTAAATGCTGATAACTTATTACTTTATTTACATCATATTTTGCTTAACTGATCAGTAAGTATTAGATACTTAATTTCACCGACTGAACAGCCAAAGTATTAGCTCTGTTTCGAGTAGACCGAAATGGGACAAGATTCTAGGTTGGTTACAGTGTCTTTAGAAGCAGGGATAGATGAAATTTCAATTATTTATAAGAACTGTACATTAGAAATAAGATTCTATGTAGGTATGCTTAATATAGTGTTCATCTGAACTACCTTTGAGTTGCTGGCAATTCCAAACTGTTTTAACAGTTCATGAGTTACTTTCGGGCTACATTATGCAAGTTAGAATTCCGCCTGTAGCTCTTCTAGGGTTACTGCCAGTCCCAAGCCCGGGCAAAGGAGGAGGGTTCGGCATGGGGTCATCAACCCCATCCCGTAGAAAACAAACTTGCTAAAAAAGCTAACCAGAATAAACAAACTAAACCATTTAAACTCCACACCGGAAGTTGAGAGAAGAATTATAACGCTTCATAGTGAAAGTCGATATTCTTCGAAAGTCACGAGATAGATACCATTTCTAATAAACAGAGCAACAGTGAATATAGGTACATGGAATGTCCGGACAATGTGGGAGACCGGGAGGACTAATCAAATAGTTACGAAAATGAGGAGACGCATATTAATGGTTCTCGGAATCAGTGAGACCTATTGGAACCAAGCTGGACAGAAAAGTATGGATTTGGGAGAGATGCTGCTGTACTGTGGTCACGAAGAAGAAAATGCTCCATATACTCAGGGAGTTGCTTTGATGCTGTTTAAGGAAGCACGTGGAACACTTATAGGATGGGAATCTCACGGATACTGGATCATCAAGGGATCTTTCAAAACAAAGAATGAGGGAATTACAATGAATGTTAATCAAATCTTATGCACTAACCAATGGTAGCAATGACGAAATAAAGGTCAGTTTTACAAGAGAATGCAACCGATCATAGAGAAGTGCTCAGAACCATTCTAATGGGAGACCTAAGTATCAAATTTGGAATGAACAACATCGGATATGAAGATATCATGGGACGGCATGGACTGGAAGAACGTAATGGGGATGGTGACAGATTTGCAAATTTGTGTGCACTCAACAAAATGGTTATAAGCGACACAATCACCGGTCACAAACGCATACAAAAACCCACATGAGTCTCACTGGATCATACTACAGAGAATCAGATCGATCATATTTCCATCACTAAAAAGTTCATAAGGTTAGTGGAAGATGTGAGAACCAGGAGAGCAACTGAGATAACTCCAGATCACCACCTGGTAGTTGCCAAG